CGCCAGCGACATGCAGCATGACGTCGACGTGGTCGCCTTCGATACCGAGGCGTCTGACATCTACCGTGAGAACCTCGCCGACAGGTGCGCCATGGCCATGACCGGTCTCCTTCGCCGCTCACGTTCGATGTAGCTTTAGCGACCACAACCTCTGGGACTGCAGCGTCTGCTCGTTCCACAACCACCCCGCCAAGCGCCGCTGCGACCTCTGCCAGACGCCACGCGGTACGATGGCCACCAGTCGTCGTCCTCGTCATATAGTATGGCTCATGACGCTTGCAGGGATTGACCAGGGTACGTTCAAGCTCCTCCAGCAGCTTCATCAGCGCGATCTGAAAGACCATGGCCGCAAATCCAAAGTGGAAAAGACATTGGTGCACGTCCCAGCGTTCCCGCTGAGCAAGCTCCAGATCGCCGCAAGCCGACGCAAGCAGTGGAAGCGCATGCCGGGCGCCGACGGGCTCCACCGCTGGGTACGCCCGCGCATCGACCTGTCTGCATCGACGCCATACTGTGTTGCAGGTCCGGGAGACGCGCAAAGGACGACGACGCTCCAACTCGTGCAGCAACCGTGACCCGGTCGACATTATCCTTGGCGACTTTCCCAGCGACCGCAGCGGCGACGACCGCGAGAGCTCCACATCCGTGCACTCGATCGGCTACATCCGCGTCCGCGACTCGACGGGCAAGCTCGTCCTGAACGAATCCGGTCTCTCTACCCTGAGACATATATCCATGCGATCATCGACGGCTCATGCGGCTCTAGACACGGTCGCAACCGACTTCCACTACAAGATCAACATGGCGGGCACCGATGTGGTCATGAACCTCGAGGAGCTCACGATGCTGCCGTTTGCGCAAAAGATCAAGTGGTTCTCGACCGAGATTCACCGTCTCTGGTTTCCATGGGAGTCGGGCCACGTCGACATTGGTAGCACGTCCTTTCTGTCGACTTCAATGCAGAAAATGACGCATGTGCCTCTACCAATAGTGGTCCGACGCGAGAGCATCCTCGCCGACTCGTTTGACCACATCATGCTCCTTAAGCCGCACCAGATGCGGCAGCGCTGGCGGGTGTCGTTCGTTGGCGAGCCTGCCCTCGACGCCGGTGGCGTCCTCCGCGAGTGGCTCACGCTCCTCTGCGCCGAGCTCTTCCACCCGTCGCTGGGCCTCTTTGTCCCGACCGTCGGCGACGACACGAGCTACTGGGTCCACGCGGGCTCGGGCTTTAGCCAGCCCAACCACCTCGACGTACGACACATTGGCTTGCTTTTTGTCGACTCATCGAGCTCCTCTAGTATTTTTCCTTTGCGGGACGCATTCTCGGGAAAGCGCTCCTCGAAGAACAGCTCATTCAAGTGCACCTGGCACTGCCGCTGCTCAAGCACATGCTCGGCGTGCCCATCTCGTTTACCGACCTCCAGTTCCTCGACGACGAGCTCTACCGCAGTCTTCTGTGGCTTAAGCGCGCAACCGACGCCGACGCGATCGCCGCGCTGTGCCTCGACTTTACCGTGGTACGCTGCAGTAGCATCCCACGATCGTCGAGTCCATCGTGATGTGTAGACGCGCAAGGTCTCGAACGGGATTCAAGTCGTGCCGTTAGCACCCAATGGCGACGCAATTGATGTGACGCCCGTGAACAAAGCGGCGTACATCGACCTCCTCTTCCAGTACCACATGCTCGACAGCGTCTCAATCCAGCTGCTCACGTTGCTCGCGTCGCTCTACTCGGTCGTGCCCGAAGGTCTCCTCAAGCTCTTTGACTACCAAGAACTGGAGCTCCTCCTCTGCGGTACGACGATGTGCTTCTTGTGGACCAGCATTGCATTGGCTTAGGGGTGCCGTCAATTGATACGGAAGACTGGCAACGGCACTCGGAGGTCAAGTACGTGACGCCGCTCGTGCCGACGGAAATCGAGCTGCGGAATTGCCGGTGGTTTTGGGCCATTCTCAACAACATGGCACCGCAAGAGCAAGCGCGACTGCTGCAGTTTGTGACCGGCAGCTCCCGCGTGCCCGCGCAGGGGTTCAAGGTCTCTACATTCTATGAGCGCGCGTGTGACGGCAGTGGCGTAGGCGCTCATTAGCAGCGACGGCCGCGTCCAGCCGTTCAACCTGTCCTTCTGCGGCCCCGAGATTGGGAATCTGTACCCGCGAGCGCACACGTGCTTTAACCGTCTCGACTTGCCCGTCTACGAGACCAAGGACGAGATGACCAAGTACCTCACGCTGGTACGTGGCATAAAATGTGCATCAGCGACGCTGCAATGTTTTTATGGACAGATTGTCAACATGGACATTACCGGCTTCACGATCGAGTGACATGCTCGTTCTATCGCCTACTACACTGCTCGCCATCGGTATAGGACACCCCTATGTGGTAAGAAAATTGTTGGACAATATTAAATATTATCTATAAATAATGAGAGGTTGCGATAAAACATGCATGTCCGATCCTACTCACTAAATTTCAGGCATGGTGCGCTAGAAATGACGACATAGCGTCAAAGAAAGTGAAATCGCTGCGTTTTTTGGCGCGTCAAATTTTAAAGACAGCCAAGGATATCGTCACTTTTCTTCTCTTCCGCAACCTTTCAGGCAAAGGTAAATTGTCGAACTATATATTATACAACCTGTTACCATTTGCGATGGCGTAGTGGTGACACCTATGCCG